AAAGCAAATAAAATTTAACATGAATATCATTAGGATTGATTGGAAGCATTTATAATCAAAATTTAAAACTCTTCAACCAAACATCTAAGAATAGTAGAATATTAAGACTAATTATATTATATAATTTTAAGACTTCTAGAATGGTATTTTTTAAAAGTTAAGTTAGAAGAATCAAAATATTATTTTAGGAACAAATTAAGAATTTATGGTTTTAAAAGTAGAGTTGCAAACCAATTCTGAGGGGTAGAGTTGTAACTGAATTAGAAATTTGCATAGTACAAGTAGTTTTTAGAGGCTAAAATTAGTTTTTTTTCTTAATACATCAATAATTCAATCCTATCTTCCAAACCTTGTTAAAAGCAAATAAAATTTAACATGAATAATATTAGAATTGATTAGAAGCATTCATAATCATGATTTAAAACTTCTCAACCCAACATCCAAGAATAGTAGGATATTAAGATTAGTAGAATATTAAGATTAGTTATATTATATAGTTTTAAGACTTTTAAAATGATATTTTTTTTAAAAGTTTAGTTAGGAGAATCAAAATATCATTTTGGGAATAAATTAGGAATTTAGGGTTCTAAAAGTAGAGTCACAAATCAATTCTGAGAGATAGAATTTCAACTGAATTAGAAATTTATAATTATGGTTAAAGTGCACGATTAAGAAAAAAAATGTTTGGGAATACAGAGGTGCTATATTTTTATTTTTTAATTAAATTAATAGAGTTATTATCTAGTAAAACAAGAAAAAGATAATTTAGAATACTACAAAAAATATATTATATTATTTAATTAAGTTATCTTGTAATTAGATTTTATTTTGTAATTGAGTGATTTACGCAGTTTAAAGGTAAAATCACAAATTAAATTAATTATATTGATTTAAAAATTTTATAATTCAAATTAAACTAATTTTATATCTATTTAATTTAATTTTTTATTAAATTGAGTCAGTTTGATTCAGATTAATTGGATTGAATTATATATGAACCCTCCTAATTGCACTCGACACAAAATCGGATGGACAAGGTCCATATAAAGAAGAAGTCTGCAAAGAAAGAAAAAAAGAACTGATAAAAAGCGAAAGCCCATTACCAACAAGGGGTTGGATCAAGTGGTAAGCGGTTTGTTCCGGCTTAAGTAAGGTATCGAGTTCGAGACCTTGTGTATACAGTAACTCCCGCTGGGAGACTCACCTATTATTTCCAGGTGCGCGACGCGGGTCAGGTCCGGATTAATCGGGGCGAAGCCCCAAATACCGGGCGGAAAACCGAAAAAAAAAAAAAAAAAACGAAAGCCCGTTAGAGTAATAGTCAAGTCCATGCAGGCTCGGTCCACAATGACAAACTAAAATGAACATTTTGAAAACCTTAC